TTTTCTCCCTGAGGGTCAGGCTTTCCAGACTGCTTACTGCTGCTGGACGCCTGCCTGCCTCTCTAGCCCCTTCCCCATTTCCTGCTTGTGGACCTCTATGTGCTGAGAAATCGCCGAACAGAGCTTTCGCGTTAGGAAGGGAAGTAAGTCTCAAGTGAGAAAAGTTTATGAGATTAAGTGGAATTCCTTCGGGGTGTGAAAAAAATCTTTCCCTGAGTCTTGTTTGAGTCTGGATAGCTGAACTGGCTCTGGGCAGCCACCAATTGCACTGGAGGCATGTTGGTGTTTTTCACACTTTGCAAGGCAAGGGGGCAGCTGAGGAGCCTGGTTTTTGATACAATTTGAATGAAAATTTCACTGACTTATGTCTTATTACAGGGTTTATTCTTATTTGTAGAGGGATTTATATAAATTGACTAAGCTGTATATTTTCAACAAGGTCGCATTCTTTCCTTTTCATTTTGATTTCTTAATCCTTTCGCTATGTATAGGAATTGCTATACTAAGCCGACAGAGATTGCACAATTACTTCCTGTTTCAAGAGACATAAGATTTCCATAAAACCAAATAATGTTGAGGTTAGAGATTACAGCTTTAGACTATTGAAGGAAATCCATTTCAACAGCCATGCAAGCCAACATTACAAAAATATTTCTACCTAAGAACATGATTCCATAAGGTGCTGCAGGATAAGAATCATCCATTTTTGTTTAAAAAATTATAAACCTCATGTAAAAGCCATTTCATTCAATCACACTAACAGTAAGTCGATTCTGACTCATAATGACCCCAACAGACAGTTTAACCACCACTGCCCCTTCAGGTTTGCAGTTATCATTGTTAGGAGCCATTGACTTGGTTCCCACCTATAGTGAACCAGTGCTCACTATAGTTCACTGTGCAGGACAGAATGAAGCACTGCCGGCCCTTTGCCCTCCTCACAGTTGTGCCTATGCGTGAGCCCATCCGTGCTATGGTGTCAATGCATCTCCCTTAGGGCCTCTTCTTTTTCACTTCCTTCCACTTTCCCAAGCATGATGAGATTCTCCAGTGACTGATCTCTCATGACAACATGTCCAGGTCTGTGAGAAAAAATGTCACCATCCTTGACTTAAGGGAGCATTCTGGCTGAACTGCTTGCAAGACAGATATTTGTTTGTCCTTTTGGCAGTCCATAGGACTTTGAATATGCTTTGAGGACATCAGAGTTCAAAGGCATTGATTTACCTTTGGCCATCCTTATTCAATGCCCAACCTTCAGTGCCTATGAGGCAATGGAAATCATGGCTTGGGTCAGGCATATTGTAGTCCTCAGAGTAGCATCCTGGCTTTTCAGCGCTCTAAGGAGGTCTTGCAGGAGAAAGACAGGGCTTTCTACTCCTATAAGGAGTTATTGTCTCAAAGTAGCTCTACCGTGTCTTATAAATTGACACAGACTCAACGGCAGTGAGAAAAGAGGTCTTGTGCAGCAGATTTCCCCGACGACGACATGTCTTTTCATCTCTTGACTGCTGTTTCCATGAGTACTGATTGTAGATCCAAGCAAAACAAAATCCTTTACAACTTCAATCGTTTCTCCATTTCTCATATTGTCACATGGTCCAGTTGTTCAGATTTGGTGTTCTTTACATTGAGTTGTAATCCACACAGAAAACTACAATCCTTGATCTTCATCAGCAAATGCTTCAAGTCCTCCTCACTTTCAGAAAGCAAGGCTGTGCCATCTGCCTATCACGGGATATGAATAAGCCTTTTTCCAATCCTGATGCTGCATGCTTCTTAATATAACCCAGCTTTTCTGATGACTTGTTCCACATAAAGTGCGGTGAGAGGAAACCACCCGACACACACCTTTCCTGATCCTAAACGATGCAATTTTCCTTTGTACTGTTTGCAGAAGTGTCTATTGAGTCATGTACAAAATCAACATGAGCACAATGAAATGTTCTGGAATTCCCATTCATCTCAGAGATATCCATAGTTTGTTATGATTTACACAATCAAATGACATGGCATAGTTAATGAATGCAAGTGAACACCTTTCTGGTATTCCCTGCTTTAACCAAGAGGCATCTGACATCAGCAATGATGTCCCTTATTTCACATCCTCTTCCAAATCTGGCCTGAATCTCTTGCAACTCCCTGTAAATGGACAGCTGCAACCATTGTTGGATAATCTTTAGCAAAATTTTAGTTACGTGGGATATCAATGATATCATTCTAAAATGTTAGCGTTCTCTTGGGTCACCTTTCTTTGGAATGGGTATAAATATGGACATCTTCTAGATGTTGGCTAAGTAGCTATCTTCCAGATATCTTGGCACAGATGAGTAAGTGCTTCCAGTGCTTCATCAGCTTGTTGAAACAGTTCACTGGGTAGTCTATCAATGCCTGGAGCCTTGTTTTAGGTTTCAGGTTTAAACCTTCAGGTTTTGTGGAGGTCAAATTCTGATATATAATCCCATTCCCTTTCTCCTTGAGGAGGTATAAGCTTTCAGGAGGCTCACCTCCATGTGCCCGTGATCACTTCAAAGTAAGTTGAAATCTGAAATGCTTTTGTTGCATTGTGATTCACTGAATCACTAAATCTGATAGGGCTTGTTAATGAGTCTTCTTCCTGTCCTGATGTTGTATTCTTGTTCATATAACTCAGCTTCTTGATTTATTTATACTGCAGGTGGCTTGAGTAAGTAGAGTGAAACGATAACAATGCAGACACAAATCTTTCTGATTTTAAACCACTCAATATCCCCTGGTTCTGTTGGAACAACTGCCCGTTGGTCTATATACAAATTTTCCATGAACACAATTAAGACTTCTGGAATTTCCATTCTCCAAAATATTAACTGCACAGTATAATGCATTTTTGTAGTCAGTTAAATCAAGTAAACACCTTTTGTTCTCTGCTTTCAGCCCAAATCCTTCTGATATCATCAATGAGATCTCTCATTCAGTATCCTCTTCTGAATCTGCATTAACTGTCTGGCCTGAATCTCTGGCAGCTCCCTGTCAATGTATTGCTACAACTGCTTTTGAATTAGCTTCAGCAAAATTTGACTTCTGTGTGATATTAATAGTATTTGATAACATCTGTATTCTTTCTTGCTGAAAGTACAGAGGACTTGAAACATTCATTGACGAAGAACAGAGACCACAGCCCTCAATATGGGTTACATACACTTCAACATAAAGAAAACAAAAATCCTCCCAGTGAGGTCACTAAATAGCACCATGAGAAATAGAAAAAAGATTGAAGTTATAAATGTTTTCATTTTAGTTTGATCTGCAATCCGTTCCCATCAAAACAGCAGTAAAGAAGTCAAATGGTGTATTGCATTGGGCAAGTATGCTACACAAGACCTCCTTAAAGTGTTATAAAGCAAAGGTATGATCTTTAGGACTAAGGGACACTTGACCTATGTCATGGCTTTTTCAATTGCCTCATGTCTATGCAAAATCTGAAGAAAAATTGATGCCTTTGAATGATAGCATTGGTGAAAAATGCTGAATATATCATCAATAGCCAAAAGAAAGAACAAATAAATCTATGCTGAAAGAAGCACATCCAGAATGTTCCTTTGAAGAGGGAAATTCTCATGTTACAAGGAGAGACCACTCACTAGAGAATGACATCATGCTTCACAGAGGTTTACTGAAAAAGAGAAAGGCCTTATCCAATGAGCCGGGTTGACACAGGGGATACAGCAGTACACTCAAATAGAGCAGTGACTGTGAGAATGGACAGTGCTGCATTCTGTTATCCACGAGGTCGCTATGACTGGGGACCAACAAGTTGGTAACACTAGGAAGCTTTTGTTCTCTTATAGGACTTTCCTTAAAACATCTATTGCAGGATAGATACTGTATTTTCTTAAGTGAAAAATAAATAGTGCAGAAACAAAATCAACAAAACCAATTCCATGACTTTTCAGAAGCTTCTAGAGAAATTAGCTCTAGGTAAGATGAGCCACCCAGCTCCTGATGGCTCATGCGACACTTGATCAATGCAGAGCACAGTTTTACATTTTGCAGTGCATACATTTTGTGCTCTGCGCTTCTCTCTTTTGAGGATAGTAGCTGGTGATTAACAGGGCTGATTGCCTGCTATACAGTATTTAATAAGCACATGTTACATTAACACCTGGGCATTTTGCAGAAATGCATACCTTTCACGGGAAATGAAGAATGGTGAGGTAAGGAAAAAGACATTTGTCTATTCAACTTACAGCATTAAAATTCACAGTCTAGTCACATTAATGCTTCCTCTTATTTCTATTCATTTTCTTCCTCCCACCCCTACACCCTGCCACTAGTTCACTGACACAGGATGAATTGGGCAAACATTACAATTTAGATTACTCTGGCAGGCAGAGAAATCATTTTTCTGTGTATTTTACAGTAAGGTAAGCATAATTAACAAAAAAGAAGATGCTTAGTTTTTCCCCCCTCTTTTAAGAGACGTAGGGGGTAAAAGAAATACAATTCTTCCATAGGTTTTATACTAGGAAGGACTTTGTCCAAAGAAATGGAGTTGCCCATCATCCCATCATAATTCCTGATGCTTCGTGAACAGTTGGATTCCCTGAGCTCTTCATCACTAACAAAAAGTTGGAGGCTTTTTTGGTGTGTGTGTGTGTGTGTGTGTGTGTGTGTGTTTGCTGATGCCAATGGAGACAACTTTCTCCTTCGCAGCATGTGGCTTGGAAAGGATTTCTTTTTTTGAAAAAAAAAAAATGGAATCTTTTCCCAGAGATAAATAGCAATTACTCAGATTTCTGCTAACAGTTATATTAAACACCCCCCCACACACACACACACACACAAAACAAAAAAATAACCTCCAAATTCCTTTAGCTGGACTGGCGAGGGAACGCATGTATCCTCTCCTTGTTTAGTTCCTTCATAGTGCTTAAAATTGGTGGCAGATCAGAATCCAACGTGCTGGTCATTCGTTAAAAGACGAACTCCAATTGCGATCGTTTAACGTTTTAATATCTTACCTCAAGTCCATGTCGCCATCGACCCAATATGCTAAGATATTCGACGAGGTTCCTCCAGGACAGCATCCTATGATGAGAACCACTACAGCTTGGATGGGGAGGATGTTGAAGGCCACTGAGAGGACGAATCCTGTGAGGGGCATGATTCCGAACTGGCAGAGGAAGCCAATGAATACACCCCATGGCCGCTTTAAATGCCCGACGAATTTCTTGAATTCTACATTGCAGCCCATGGAGAACATCACCAAGGCCAACAAGATCGTGAGGACGGTACTCAGAACGACACTCAGGATATAGTTGGCATTACTCTCAGGGAGCACACAGGAGGCTCCATCGCAGGTTGTTGCATTGGCCAAACAGCTTGTTGAATTATTCATTGTTGCGTGTGCTCCCCACAGGGTCAAGTTCAGAGAAGCCCAGGTTGCCCTGTCCAGGCACAGCTGCCAGTGAAGATAAGTAAAGTGTATTTCAACCATGCCAAACTTTTAAACCCTTCCTAAACCCACGTCACTTGGTGACTCTTTCAATAAACTGCTTCAGAGAAGCAATAAAAAACCTGTAAATGCTAGGATGTCAGTTTCGAGAGGTAACATTACAACACAGCACAAATTCTGAATCATAAAAGTACAGCCACATTATTGGTCCAGACAGAGAATCTTAATTAATCATTTATTGGCATGATAATGAACCATACAATATTAAAAGAGCTGTGTTAATGTTTAATGTTGGGGAGGTTTGTTTAATAAATTTAGCTAAATGGCACTTAAGATCAGCCCAGAATCTTATGGCGCACCGTAGGACTTGAGCCGTTAGAAAGGCTATTGTTCCCTCATCCTCCTGTAAGGATGAAGGAAGTAAAAGTCTGACACACGGTGCCTTGTGCTAAGTTATATAGCAAATTAGTGCCAGAATTTGAACTGGAACTCAGATCTCCTTACCCAATCATTTTGCTACTGTGCCAATCTGTCTCCTTGCAATTGGCCTGCAGCTTTATAATGTACACTTAGATGTGAGAAATTTATAGGTCTTTAAAGCAAAGTTATGGGCAAGTAACATGTAAAGGATGGAAGGTGCCTGACTTAGAGAGCCACCCTCAATTAATTACCCATGCAATTATGTATGTGTCACTATAGTAACGAAGTGCTTTATGGATAAAGACAATCCAATTATTTAAAGGGATGAACCTTACAGGATTAGGGCAAAGTGACAGGATCTCTTTGTGCTTGGAGTTAAGAATTGAAAGAAAAAATTTCTTTTGGTGAAAGCGGTTTCCAAAAGAGGTACATTTTTGTAAATGTCCAATATTTAACCTATTTGGGGGCATAGCATTGTACGTGGGGGTAAAGGGAAGATAAAAAAGAGGGAGAGGAGATGGCCACAGTTGTTATGATTTTATAATCCAGTGATTGAGTTAGAACACTGCATTATGACTAAAATAGAATATGTCTATCAAAATCCACAATTAAGAGCAATGGTTTCATTAATTTTTTTATTTGATCATCTTAAATTAGGCAATATTCTCATCTCCATTTTACAAATTAGGTGTTGAAAGTAAAGGAGATGAAAACCTGCATTCAAGTGTTACAACAAGTAACTCAAAATCCTGGGATTCAACTCACTGACTTTTTGCAGAAAACAGCTGGTTTGGGGTGGAGATTCAGAGTCATGACTGAGAACAGAGCTTCTCAAAATGTAAGGTGTACGTGATGCTTTGGGACCTTGATAGAATGCAGGCTGGTCCTGTAAATCTAGGGTGGGGCATCTGTCTTTTTAACAAACTCTCAGGTATGATGATGATACTAACCCGTGGACCATACATTGAAGAGCAAAACCTTAAATATCAATGTGAGGATAACAACAATTGTACCCAAACAGGTGAAAACTGGATTTATTGGTCATAGCTGAAAGCAGCATTTTTAGAGCAACTAGATACTGGGCAATTTACCTGCTGTCAACTGACAACATGAGCCAGGGTCAAGGGTGAGTAGAGGGATAAAGAGTTAAATGTTCCAGTTGTCCGGAGCCTAGAGATGGTGGCCCTTTAATCTGGGATTGAACTACTGGGACAAATCTGAGCCACCTATTGAAAGTTGGGGGGCCGTGATTCATAGTTCTAGTCGATACAACTTTTCTCCTTGGCGTGTACCTCAGCAGCTATCACGCTTCACTGTCTGCCTTCTCTTGCCTGGGTGGCTTCCCATTCGCTCTCTCCTGGCTGCCTGCCAGAACCTGGGAGTCTTTCTTGCCTTTCCTCACCCTTCCCACCCCAAGGCAGCTAAATGATTAGCTAGGTTAATTCCCCTAGGGAGCCTCTTCCCTCATTCCTAGGTGTGTGCTCACTAGGCCCTGCCCTCTTGGCCCTGTCCAAGCATCTTTTGGAGCTGACCTCTGGCCCACTTCTTTGATGAAGTGCCAGTTAGTCGCACGTCAGATAAGCCAAATGCTCCCCCTGCTGCTTCACCTCCGCACCTGCGAGTTAGCCCCGAATCTTCTTTTTCCCCTCAGCACAGGTGAGGTTGGATGCAGAATAATGATGCCCGATCCAGGTGCACTGATTTTCAAGACCATCTCAGGCATTGCTTTGGATCAGTGGAGGCTCGCTCATTTCACCCAGAATCCGAAAGCTACCCTAGGGCCTCATGGCAGATATTCTCCTTTGTTTCACAATCTGGTCTCCCAAGGAAAATTTGAATTGTGCGGGTTTGGAAGAAAGGTTGTATTAAAGGTTGAAATTTAGCTCAAGCTTTTGAAAGGCCACCATGAAAAGTCAATGCATAAGACCCAAGAGAGGCATATTTCAACGATTTCCTCGTAAGTCAAACAGGTTTTCCAGGGTGACCAACACGTTTCAGACTATCCTTGCTGCGGGTTGACCTGGTGAAAGCCACACTTGGCCTCTTGCCCACGCAGCCAGACGAAGAGGAGAGAAAGTGAAGAAAACAGAGGGCAGGTCCAGAACAAAGCTGTTGGAAAAAATTAGAAGACTTGCTAAGGAGATTTTAGGCTCCCAGGGGCAGAATGCTTTGCATATAGACAACTTGCAAATGAGCAGTCTGTCTGACTAGACAGAGTGCTACAGTACTGGTTAAAAAAATGTGCCAATGCATTTCTAATTTTCACATTGTTTTTACATAAATTTGCACATTAGGCTCAAGAGGCCTTAAATTCAAGTATTGGAGTGTTTCACAATTAATTAGTACCCTCAACTTCAGCCGTATTCAAATCCAGGCATCAGGCCATGATAAATTACAAGTATCTAAATATTCAAAAATAATTCTCTGTAATTATAACACAGATTCAGGGAATGGGTGTGCATCTGAGTGGGCAGCTAGGAGACTGGTGTTTGATTTTCATTGTCGTCTTTTCAAGTTTTTTCCTGCTAAGTTTCGGCATACACGATTCAAATACAGGAAATAATCACAAAAGCAGTAACACATGATTGTTCATGGCCTCCTGGGTTGAGACATAGTGAGTTTTGGTTTAATTCATCTTCTCACACTTCTTTGGGCGCTACCCTTCACAAAGTCACCCCTGAAATGTTCCTAGGCATCAGTTTGGAGAAGTGAGGATTTAGTAACCTTTCACTGTGTTTGCCCTGTAGTTCACATGATAAAAGACGAGCTTCCTGCTTTCTGTTGTGTATCACCAAAGATGACTCTATTCATATTAGACAGCCATCTGGGATCTGACAGGTTCTGTTGAGCAGTTGCCCTTGATGGAAATGTTGTTCTTCTCTTTGTCTTTTTCCATTTTACTACAGAGTAATCTTTTATGAAACTTGGAAATCCCACATTTAGCGATATTATTTTTTGTCTCCGGTTACTTTCTTTAAGGCAAAATATCCTAATGAATGACTAGATTGCTAGGCATTAAACAAACAAACAAACAAAAAAAAGTAAGTAGAACTTGGGGGAAAATAGTACACAAGGGAGTTTAATGGGTGGAAAAATGACTGGGCTTAAAATCAGTGACATAGGCTTTAGGTCTGCTCCTGTTGAAAATACCTTGCAAAGTGTTAAGGGTGGCATGACTAAATGTGAAGCCCTATTAGAAATTTGGCAGTTAGGATAATATTTTTAGAAAACTATCAAAGGTAACTATACACATACTCATGGCCCAGTCTTTCCTTAGTGTAAATCTAAGAAATCCAAAAATTGAATTTTCCTAAATACTGGAACTAGAATGATAATAGTAGCTCAATGGTGGAAGCTATGCAAATACACATCAAGATTAGAAGAGATAAATATATTGTGTTATATTCACACCATGGATTCCATGCAACTGTTAAGATGAATGTTCCTACACACACACACACACACACACACACACAAATTGAGTGAAATAAGACAGCAATAAAAACAAGCAAAGCTAATATATGGTGTTAGAACTCAGGATAGAAATTACTCTTGGCGTGTGGGAGAGTAAATATTAAATGGGATCACTTTAACATAAGCTTGCTATACTTCAACATCAAGTTAAACACAAACGAAACATCTGTTGTTACAAATAGTTTGGAAAAAGGTGTACGTCAAGACCTGAGAAGATACGAGCCAACAGTGGACGTGAGAAGTCATGGAAGAACTGAGGAGGGAAGAGAAGGAGAAGAGGGAACGGGGCTGAGTACTTGAAGGAGGGCCACGGGGAGTGGATAGTACACTGTCATCATTTTAGCAAGTTGATCCTGTGACTCCTCTTATAGTTGAGTGGTTTTGTAGGACTTTTTGTTAATTAAATATTTTCTAAATGTCTAAAAACCTTCAAATCTATAAATCTTTAACAAGGTCCATTGTGGTTATCCTAGATAACTCTTCAAGCCAATCGTCCTAATAAAAGGTAGTCTGTGTTCTGTGGGTTCAGTAGTCAGCCATGGTGGTAGAGTCCCCATGGATCTGGGCTTTCTGCTCCAGGAAACAGTTACAGTCCCAGAAACCCCAGGGGTCACTATGAGTCAGCATTGACTGAATGGCAGTGGGTTTTAATTTTCTTAGTCAACCATACTTTAAAAGTGGAACATTTTTTATATTTTTGAGTATGCCTCTTGTGGTACCTTGATAACTTACTTGACAGAAGCTTTGTTACTAATATTTTAACATTTCTTTTAAAACCTTCCAAAGTCCACTGTTGCTGAGTCAATTCAGACTCATAGTGATGCTAGAGGGCAGAGTAGAACTGCTCTTGCACAAGACGTCCGAGGCTGTAAAGATTTACAGAAACAGACTGCTCGCCTCATCTTTCTCCAGTTAGATTTGAACCACCAGCTTTTGGCTAATTGCTGAATGCTTAAATCTCTATGTCTTGCATGGGCACTAATTTCTTGGAATCTGTGGTAGAATATATCATTATTGTATATTAATGGTTATTTCTCAACCATAGGATTACATATGCTCTTCACCTGATGAAAAATGATTGGCTGTGATTGAAAGTTGAAGGAATATTGCCTCATTCAATTGTTAAGTTGAATTATCAGTTGCTGTGGGGTGGATTATGACTCATAATGACCTA